AGGATTGAATAGGTTTAAATTCATCGGCCAACTTAGATTCAACTTCTTCAAGAGTTTTCCCTGACACAGTTTGAGTTGTATCATCAGCATACATGTCAAGTGTAGATTCTTTAGTAATTAAAGATAGATCATTTACAAATATTATAAAAAGCAAAGGTCCTAAAACAGAACCTGAGGAACACCATGAGATACTGATTTAGGAGAGGATAAACGTTTTGCGATCATAACAGACTGTCGACGATTTTCCAAATAAGATTTAAACCAGGCAATGGCTGAATCACTGCGACAATAGAGTTGGAGCTTAGTTAGTAAAACATCATGATCAATAAGATCGAATGCCTTACGAAAATCAATGGCTACTAAGCCACTAAGCAGAGCTTTGTCAATATTCATAAGTAGAACGTCGACAATTTTGATTAGGGCTGTCTCACAGGAATGGCCTCTGCGAAAGCCTGATTGATTAACACAAAGCAAGTTATGGTCAGTCATGAATTCATAGAGTGAAGAATGAACATGTTTTTCTAACACCTTGGAAAGAATAGGAAGAACCGAGATAGGACGATAATTATTAGGATCCTTCCTATCTCCATCTTTATAAATAGGTGTGACACGTGCAAGTTTCCAAGACTCAGGAAAAACTCCATTTCTTATTGAGGCGTTGAAAATTTTTGTTACTTCAGGTGTAATAACAGGAGCACTGATTTTAAGTAAACGGGCACTCAGTCCGTCTAAGCCAGTGGATTTATTCAATGGCAAAGTTCTTAGCTCCTTAAAGACGGTGCCTTCGTCAATAAGTGGAATCTCAAATTTATCACCTAGAGGATTAAGCTCATTAATATGAGTATTAAGAGATTGATAAAAATCACCCGAAGCAAAAATTTGAGCATCAACTGATTTAGCACTAACATCAAACTTACTAGCAATGTTCGAGAAGTATGAATTAAAACATTCGGCAATGTCAAGTGGATCAGTAATGTCTGAACCATCAATGTGCAATCTATTGATGTTTTCCTTCACATCACTACCACTGAGAGATTTCAAATGTTTCCAAAGACCTTTCGGATTTCCTTCATTTTCCTTAAAAGCACCATGGAAATAAGCTTTTTTTGCCTCTCTAATGAGAGTAGTACATTTATTTCTCTGTTTCCTATAGCAATACCAGGTGTCATTATCACCACTATTCCTGGCTTTAAAATGAAGGTTGTCTCTCAATTTCATTGCCTCACTGATATCTTTTGAAAACCAAGGTGGTTGGCGAGGCTTACGAATCCTTTTTTCTACCCAGGGAGCATGCTGGTCAACAACCTCAAAAAAGAGTATTGACCATGAATCAAGAGCTAAATTTGGATCTTCCCATAGGTCAATATTAAACCAAGGGACAGACTTTAGATCAGTAAGAAAAGCCTTTTCATCAAAATCTTTGAAGTTACGGTATCTAATTGTAACATGAGTACCAGGATGAATGTTAGACCTGTCATACAAACGAGTGAATAAAACAGGCAGATGGTCAGACATAGAGATGTTTAAAACATTGATAGTATGAATATTTTGTGAATGAGATGTATAAATATGGTCAAGGCATGATCCACTTACTGGTCTAGTTACTTCCTTAACTAGTTGTTCCATTTGAAGTGTAGAAATAGCTCTAAATAAGGGATGAGACTTGCCCTTCTTATCAAGTAGATTAATATTGAAATCTCCCATAATGATGGTTTCTTTGTTTTCAGAATGAGCAGCTTGACCCGATTGAGTAGATTGTAGTGTCATCAGCGTACATCATGACAGAGCCATCTTTAACTTGATCAGGTAGGTCATTAGTATAGATAGTATACAGTCTTGGGCCAAGCAAGGATCCCTGAGGGACACCAAATTTAATAGGAAGAAGGACAGATCTTTTGTTGTTTACTTCTGTATATTGATATCTATCAAGTAGGTAGTTCATTAGCCACTGATGTAATGGACCAGAGATGCCAACTGCATTGAGCTTTAAGGATAGGATTTCATGTGACACAGTGTCAAAAGCTTTTTTAAAGTCGATAAATATAGCTCCAACAGTTAGGCCTTTGTCCATAGCTAGCTTCCACTTTTCTGTCATGGTGAGAAGTAAGTTCTCTGAAGAGAGTCCTTTTCTGAAGCCCCATTGGTGCTTACTTAGAAGGCCACAATCTTGTAGATGATAGAGCAAATTTGATTTTCTAGGAGCTTTCCAGGAATGCTGAGTAAAGAAATTGGCCTGTAATTTGAAACTTCAGAGAAGGAACCTTTTTTATGAACTGGAGTAATTTTGGCTTGTTTCCATATATCAGGAAATTTGTTCAAACATGAGCTTTTGTGGAAGACTGTAAATGGACCATTATCATCAGAAGATTTTATCAGGGATAAGGCTTGTGATGAAATGCCGTCTGGACCAGAGGCCTTCTTGGCTTTCACCTTCTCAAGGTCTTTAGGAATATCCCTTCATTTTTGAAAGATAAAGTTGGTTTTAATGAAGATGATGTCATAAAGACGCAAACAGTTGCAGCTCACAGAATTCATGTGGAGAGAGCTATGGAAGGCCGAATGTTGCAAAATTCAAGAACCTTAATTTGATCACATTCAAGGATCTAGTTCACATTCAATAACAAAATTCACCTTCAACATTTGTAAATCAATCATATTCAACAGATATTTTTATGACATTCAAAGATCGCGATTACATTCAACAGCTTCATTCACATTCAACATTTGCAAGTTATCATGTTCAACAAACATCCCACGAATGAAATAAATCGCGTAAATTGTAAATGACACTCAACAGACACACTAAATATATTTCGATCTCATACAACGCAACGAGATCGCGTTCTACATTCACATTCAACAGAAATGATTTGTCAACAAATCCCACAATGCATTTCCAAACTGTCATCGAAGTGCATGCTGGGAAGGACTACACGTGAGTTCAAAAAGGCGGACATCCGGAATCAATTTTAAAGCTTCTGGACGATTATGAACTCTATAGAGATAATTATGGTTTGTCTACAAGAGAGAATATCGCTATAAGAATTGAGTCGGTTATTATTGCTCTTCAGCAAATTATATCTTTTACTTCATCAAGCAGCCTTGAATGTCAACCTTTTCTAGAATCTCTTGCATAACCTTCGTGTTTTACATTTAGACTGGACTAGAAGCAATAAAAACGTTTCTCAGTGCACAAGAGTGGCTGTTTATTCTTTGGAATCCCCTAGTGTCTGTTCAGCTTCTACCTCAGGTAGACCCAAACTACAAATCTGTGAGGACACTTTAATTCAACTAAGATCACTTGGCTTTACTTGGGAAACCATATCCAAGATGTTGCTCGTTTCTAGATGGACAATTCGGAGACGTGTGAAGGAGTTTGGAATTGAAGAAGAAACTGGACACTCTGATTTGTCAGACGAGGAACTGGATGTAATTGTTCAGCAATTCATTTCCCAGCATGGTGCTCTTGTGGGCTGTTCCATTGTAAGTGGCAGCTTAAGATCAATGGGACTCAGGATACAGAGAGATCGAGTCAGAAAAAGTATTGGACGTGTAGACCCAAGTAATTCGCACATAAGGTGGGCCGTCACAGTTTCAAGAAGATCATATTCTGTCCCTGGGCCAAACAGTCTATGGCACATTGATGGTCATCATAGTCTAGTAAATTGGGGGTTTGTCATCCATAAAGGTATTGATGGGTTTTCCCGAATGGTTGTGTTTTTGAAATGCTCAACTAACAACAATAGTGAAACAGTTGAAGAATGCTTCATTGAGGCCACTGAGCAATATGATTGGCCATCCAGAGTCAGAACCGACCACGGAGGAGAAAATGAGAAAGTGTGGGAGCGAATGGAAGAAAGAAGGGGTGCAAGCAGAGACAGCTATCTTGATGGGACATCAGCTCATAATCAAAGGATTGAACGCTTGTGGAGAGATGTATTTGGTACGGTATGTCACACCTTTTATTATACTTTTCAAGCAATGGAAGAATGTGGTGCATTGCAGCGTACCAATAAGCTGCACATGTTTGCGTTGTGTAGATTATTTATTTACCAAGGATAAACAATGCTCTAGATTCATTTCTGTCGGCATGGAATCTATATCCAATTCGGACAGAGCACTATTTGACACCTATCCAGATATGGATAAATGGTATGCTGGATTTGAGAAATCATGCTTTGTGTGGAATGTCAGCAGATTCGAGCATTGCAGGGGCAGGTGTGTTACATATTTTTTTGTGATAGTACTACTACTACTACTACTAATAATGACTTTATTTAATGAGGATAACCACATAATGCACAAATGCACTAAAAACCTTTCGTCCTCCATATATATATGTATATATATACAAAAAACTACAAACTATAAAACTAATATAAAAGAACTAAAGTCTCCGACACAATGGCCACCTAGTGATAATGACCCCTGAGTCGAAAACGCTAAACCCCCATCAGAGCCCCAGCCCAAGTTTCACGGTACTTACTTGTATCTCACATCCAGGGTAATCAACTCTAAAATCTGGACCATGATATTAATTGTTTTTCTGTTTTTGAGTACATATCTGACTAGAACATTGTAATTGGGCAATCAGTGATACAATAATATCTATTGCAAAATACAAATTATGTAAGTGTAAATAGCCACCAGTACTGTGACATTAACTCATTGAGAGATGAAGATCACAGGCATAGAAGCATATCAAACTTGTGGTATGTTCAAGTGTTTCACTTTTGAGTGCACAATATTTTCAAAAAGTTTATATTACAATTCAGACACAAACAAGAACTACTGTTTTATATTGCTTTAAAATGTTCCCAAGGTTTTAATCACTGTCATTTCACATACATACACATGTAAAGACAGTTGTTGCTGACTCAAAATAGAATCCCGTGCCCCCATTCGTAACAAGGCTATAACATATTTTAAGGTGGTTAATTAATACAGGAAATTATCTGATGACACTGCAAACCTTTTTATGAAAAAAATGCAAGCTATCGTTTACCTTGCTTGAAACACGTTCCAGATAGCTTGATATTTCAAAATTTATGATTTCCAAATTTAAAAAAAGGAATGATGAATAATAAAACCATGTTTAACTAAACAAGTTTTAGCGTGAATGGGCCTCAGGTTTTGAATCTTCAAGAGCAAAGTACATATTATGTTCATAATATGCCAGTGACACATGTATGATTCTACAAGTTCAGAAAACACAGCTCTCATACAAACAAGAAAATAACATTATTATACAGGTTATATGTTTTGTTAACTGATGGTTTTTAATGTACAGTAATTATTTTTCATCTCAAATACAATTTTACTATCTAACGTAATAATTATTTTAATCAACAAAATTGGCCACAAAGGTTAACCAAACTCAGTACAAGTTTAATTAAATGTATAAAAACATTAGCCAAGCAGTAAATGAATGATACTAAAAAAACTGTCAAAAGTTAATTTTTTGACTGAATACCTTTTGTAATTAAGGTTTTATAGCGGAGCTCCCGCGCGATCGGAGCCCCATACTTAAGAAAAAATGGTAAACCATCGAGTTGATTTTTCATGGCTTGGCTGACGTCACTTCCGTCCGTCCGTCCGTCCGTCCGTCCGTCCCGATTGGCTGGTTAGATTATCTTTTTTTTTTAGCGGGAATGTCGACGCGTTGCAACATCCGGGTACACATAAAGGTAAATCCGGCTATTAAACTTTTGTAAAAAACGTTTTTACACCTGTTATTACGTATAGAAATACCGAAAGATAACAACACAATTTTTTATTCAAGCTTATATTTACATTTATATTTACTCTATTTATGATGGAACCCCTTTCCGAAATCGATATGTCGAAAGAAAGCTCAGAGGAGAATGAAGCCAAAAGAAAGGCCAGAAGTAAAAGAGTTTTTTCGGAAGAGGAAAAACTCTGGAGGTGTGAAAAAGAAAGGCAAA